AGATGCCTTGAACCCTATACCCAAAACTGAACCCTGACCTTAAGCCCGAAACCCTCACCTCCTTGGAGCGCGTCTGCTCCTGCCACATGTAGATGGGGAACCTGATGAAGTGGGAATGGTAAAAGACGCTAAATCCTAGACTATGAACCCGAAAGCCTCTCTCTAAACCCTCACCTCCATGGAGCGCGTCTGCTCCTGCCACATGTAGATGGGGAACCCGAAGAGTGGGAATGGTAAAAGACGCTAAATCCTAGACTCTGAACCCGAAACCCTCTCTCTAAACCCTCACCTCCTTGGAGCGCGTCTGCTCCTGCCACATGTAGATGGGGAACCCGATGAACTGCGAGTAGTTCTTCACGAGGCTCGCCAGGCGCGCCGGGTCTGAGTACTCCGCCTTCTGGTCCTCCTGTAATCACACAAGCGGAAGAAGGGGGTGAAAGGGGGAGCGGGGAGGGGGGTGGACAGGGGGGCTTAGAGTTGACTCCAAAGGGGAACCCGATGAACTGCGAGTAGTTCTTCACCAGGCTCGCCAGGCGTGATGGGTCAGAGTACTCCGCCTTCTGGTCGTCCTGCACTCACACACGCCACAAGGTGGAAGAAGGGATGGAGAGGGATGGAGAGGGATGGAGAGGGATAGAGAGGAAGGGGAGGTTTCTTGAGCCAACGCATACGTCTCGTCTCACACATACTCCAGGCGAGCACATGGGAACTCCAGCTTTACCCAGGACCTGGTACATGTTTAAATGAGGAGTGAGGATTTCTTCACGCGCCTCAATATGGTCCATGGGTGGGAGCACTTCATTACGCCATAAGCTGGCAAATCATTAAACCCTGAACCCCGACACCTCAAATCTAAAACCCTCTACCTCACAGTGTACGTGCTCTGATCCGCCTCCGTCTCCCATACCCACTGCTTCTCGCCCTTAGCACTTACCTCACCATAAACCCCAAATCCCTGAACCCCGCATCCCTCACCCCACTCTCACCTTGAGGTGCAGCTGGATAGAAGTGCCACGCGCAAGCTGCTCCCCGTCCGCGTCCTCGCGCACAGTGTACGTGCTCTGATCCGCCTCCGCCTCCCACACCCACTGCTTGTCGCCCTTGGCGCTCTTAGTGCGCACTGTAACACGGTCTGCCACGAGGAACGCGGAGTAGAATCCCACTCCGAACTGACCAATCAGGTTGCTGTCCACCTCGCCCTCCTTCTCCTGCTTCTCCTGATATGGTTTAGGGTTTGGGGGAAGGGGCGGAGGCGGGGGGGGCGGGGGGGCGGGGGGGCGGCGGAGGGGGCGGGGGCGGGCGACAAGGGAGGGGGGGGGGGGGGGGGGGAGGGGAGAAGCTGGGTTAATTCTTGACTGTTGAGTCGCCTCCCACAGCCACTGCTTGCCCCCCTTGGCGCTCTTGGTGCGCACGGTGACACGGTCTGCCACGAGGAATGCGGAGTAGAAGCCCACTCCGAACTGCCCGATCAGGTTGCTGTCCACCTCGCCCTCCTTCTCCTGCTTCTCCTGGTGGGGGGAGTGGGCGGGAGCGGAGGGGCAAGAGTGGGAGGGGAAGGGGAAGGGGAAGGGGAAGGGGAGCGGAAAGGGAGGGTGGTTTATGGCTCTAGAGTGGCCTCACGAGGAACGCGGAGTAGAATACCACTCCGAACTGGCCGATCAGGTTGCTGTCCACCTCGCCCTCCTTCTCCTGCTTCTCCTGTTTGGGTTGAAGGGGGGAGGAGTAGACGGAAGGGGGACGACATACGAGTCAACTCAAGGGCGAATGCTTGGCCCACATACTGGCAGAGAAGCCAGCCAGAGTTTCAACCTCTCCCACACTCTCAGCACTGGCATGAATCATCTCACTTACAAGCATATCCCCGCTATAAGCTGCCCCGTGTTTACCTTGATGGCCTGCACGAACTTGGCGGTGCCACTCTGGGCGATGGTCCCCAGCGAGTCCATCAGCTCCTCCTTGGTCATGCCGATGCCCGTATCGCTGCATAGGCACAAGGGGAGGAGGAAAAGTAAAGGCAGAGTGACGTACGGGGTAAGGAAGCGAGTGAGAGGGGGAAAGGATGGCGATGGTCCCCAGCGAGTCCATCAGCTCCTCCTTTGTCATACCGATGCCCGTATTGTTGTGGATGGGAAGGGAAGAGGTCCGGGCAGAGAGAAAGAAACGAGTGAGAGGGGAAGAGCGGCGAAGGAGGTGAGTGAGATGTAGAATCTTGGTTTTAAGAAGTTTATTAGCGGCTCCTTGGTCCAGCAGCAAACAAGCGTGCACTGCGTGAAGGAGATAGTACAATACCACAGCAGTGACGAGACAGCACAGCACAGCAGAGCACATGAGCTCCGAGTCAGCAGCCATGAGCGCCGGATCCGTCACCGACAGACAGACATGCACCCTATGAGTCGACTCAAACCACCACACTCCACCGCACCACACCACACCACACCCCAACACGTCACACACCACCACACTACACCGCACCACACCGCACTCACGTGATGGTGATGGTGCCAGCAGCGGGGTCCGCCTTGATGCGAATGGCGAGCTCCGAGTCAGCCGCCATGAGCGCCGGATCCGTCACGGACAGGAACCGCAACTTGTCCAACGCGTCGCTCGCATTGCTGCAATGGGTTAGCGGAGGAAAGTTACGGGGATAGGCAGGGAGTGGAGAGGAGGGGAGGAAGAGGAGGGGAGGAGTGGGGAGAGGTAGAAAGATGCACACGAACTGGTCGTCCGGAATTTCAATACACAGTTGTGATATTAATATGCTGTTACGAAATTATGTCTTAGTATGCTCTTGCAAATGTCAGCAAAATTCGTACCTAACGAGCTCGCGAAGGAAGACCTCGCGGTGGCTGTAGAGGGAGTGAACGATGAGATCCATGAGCCGATTCACCTGCGCGCACACAGACACATGGACAGAAACACGTGGACAATGAAATTCATGAACCGATTCACCTGTGCGCACACGGACACGTAGATAACAAAACACGTGGACAACGAAATTCATGAACCAATTCACCGTCGCGCATAAGTACACGTGTAGATCATAGTGTGCACGTGAAATTGATGAATCCATAAACTAATTCACATGTGCGGAAAGTTCGACACATCAGCCCCTGAAAATCGGTTGTCGGAGATCGAAAAATCCCATGCCTACGACACGTAGGCAAAGCTAGGGTTCGTCTTAGGCATTGTGATGGTGAATATTTGAAACACACCATCACTAACTTGTGCAATTCCGCCCACCTCGTCTTCCCACTCACCTCGGCTTGGTACGTGAAGGTCTCAGAAGCTGGGGCCTCTGTCGTCGTGGCGTTGCATCGGACGGGGCTCCACGTGGCAGGCCTCTGTGCGGCACGCTGCGATGCTGACGTGGCATGAGTGGCCGAGCGGGAGAGGCGGGCAAGAAGAGCGGGGTTGCCGGCGGCGCCGGAGGAGAAGGAGCGCCACGAGATGGACGGCGTGGATGCGGTTGACTGCGTGGGAAAGCGGGAGAAAGGAGCAGGAGAACGGAGAGCGAGAGATTCAGGTCGCCTGAATGACTGACAATTGACTCAACAACTACGAGAAGGATCCTCGCTAATCAGGAAATTCGAGGGTGATTGGACTTTTGAGTCGACTCGAAATTCAGCTGACTGAAAGTTGACTCAACATCCCCTTTGGTCACAGAAAGACGAGGGTGATTGGCACGGCATGGCCAGTGAGCGATTTTTAAAAATTCTCGGAAAACGGCATGGCCAGAGATTGCAACGGTAACAAATATAAAATCACGCACCGCAGCCTTGGACGAAGCATCCTTAGCCAGCACCGCGCGCGGCGCGCTCGAGAGTGACGCGGCGTTCATCTGGAGAGCCGCCATGGCTGGGAGATCTGAAAGCGCGGGGATAGCGCGGTGCGCGGAACGCAGGAGTCGGCGTGCGGCGGTCGAACGAGAGAGCATCAAGCGAAGCTCGCGCAGTTCTATGGCAGATGGAGCACGACGGAACTGCGATCAAGGAGCGAGCTGTCCTCGGGAGCAACAGGAAAATGGAAGCGACTGAGAGAAAGAACAGAATGACAAGATTTTAGCTCCAAGCCTGCTGGAGCTTCCCCTGCTGCGGCGGCTGTTGAAAGATTCAGGCAGGGGTTGGCGGAGACGCAGGCGGAAAGCGAACAGTGGCTGGCGGAGCGGAACAGATCAGACCGGAAGTTGGGGGGAAAATCCTCTGTGCTCGCGGAAATGCTTGGCGGGAAACACTAGCGAGCGGAGCGAAAATGGGATGCTGAGGGGGTCACCGCCGAATGCCGAATGCCGGAAGTGGGGGGAAGAATGTGGAATGTGCTTGCGGCATTCTCAAGGCTTTCCAGGTGGACCGAGAAAAGGGAGTGTGTACGCGTGGCATCGAGTTTGATGTGCCAAATCATTTTCTAGAAAGGGCGCTGATTCGGCGTGGTGAGCATGTCACTGTGCCAGCTCAGCTTCGATTGACGTGATTACCAGAAGGTTCGATTGCTAGAATAGGGCGTGGGATTGGTCACATATGCAATACACTTCAAGAGGATTTAGTGTAAACCAATCATGGTGTGTGTGAACTCCTTACGCATATTGTACAGACAGGCATGAGATAACTGTGATTTGGGTCTATGAGCATTATATGTAGGGATCAACTAAAAGTCACTTCTGAATCAGGGACAGTAGCAATGTGGGACAACTAGGGGAGGAAAAGTCATGAGGAAGGAGTTGTATTGTGATAGCCTGGTTGCATTGCTTTCCATTGCAAAACAAGGGAGCTGTGAATGCCGCTGACTGAGCTGTGGAGTTGGTCCTCTCTACAACCATGATGCAGAAATTGGTTGGTGGCCAGAAGCCACTTGGATCGCTCAGATCGTACAGAGATGTTGACACAACTACACAAAATGGCACAGTGCTCTGCAGAACAACGCTTCAAAGTGGTCTAATCTAAAGTCCACCAACACGCAAACTTTTGGCCCATGCTGGTAGGCAATCAATTTGTTCCCTCCCTGCTTTAAGCTGAGTGCTTGGTCTCCATGTGCTTCGTCAAAAACGCCTCAGCATTGAACTTCCTGTTGGCAGCAAAGAAAAGAAAAGAGAAGGAAAAAATGCGCCACAACACAGAGAAGCCGAAGGTGAGACACCATTGCGGAAAAAACCAATCCTTAGCCATCAGCCATCAACCAAAACAGGGCAGCTGTATAGGGACACAACCGCCAGGAAGCTTCCTTCACACGCAGCGTGCGATGTGACCAGCAGGGACACCTGTGAGCCTGGTAGACGACCGGGCACCGGAAACCAACTAACCAGGCACTAATCTGAAGTATGCATAGAAAGAAGACTCACAGGTAGCGGTGTGAGTGCATCTAAAACCAACTTACTTGGGGCACTGTGGGCAGTGGAAAACGGCCTTCTTCTTCCCTCCTGAAGCAGGGGTGGCTGTAGCACCAGGCTCCGGTGTTCCTGCTGCTACTGCTGGCGGTGTGGCTGCTGCTGGCGCTGCTGCCGCAGGCTTGGCAGCAGGAGTGGCAGGCTTGGCGGCAGGCTTGGCAGCCTGACCACAGGAAAACGGGGAATGGAAGTGTGAAGGGGGAAGTGAAGAGTTGATTAGGACGGACGGGCGGACTTGTGAGAATCGTGGCGATTTTATTCAATAAAAATTGGTGAAGCGAATTTGGTGGCGTGCAAACGATCAGGTCGCGTGCAGCGATCAGCATGAGGCATGTGGTGTGGGCGTGGGAGAAGGTAGGGTAGAAACGGAACGAGGGGGTTGTGTGCGGAGGTGGGGGGGGGAGCGGGGGGGTCTGTAGGAGGGGTTAAATGGAGGGGAAGGAGGGGGAAGTGGAGAATTGGCCATATTCAACGGAGGACGCATCAGCCGCTGCGAGACTTACATGACATGACCACGAAGCAGCATATCATGATGCTACTTCGTTTCATGATGACCTCGGAGCAGCATATCATGAAACCTGATGCGCTCATACAGCCCCTTTTGCCATGCACCACGCGCACCCAGACATGAGGTGTCTTATTATCCAGAAACAAAAGTTCCCTTCAACGGTTATTGAAGTGGTTACCCAATGATCCGAGATCTTAAACCCCATGAGTGGCATCAACCTTCAAAACCGCGAAATCCAAGAGCCTTGCGCTTAAAACCGGGGTGCACATTCAGCTGAATGTGCATCAAAGGTTATCCCTTGACTGAGTGGGTTACGAGGTGTGCTTTCAACCCCTTCAAGTCGAAATTCGTTTCCCCCCTCCCCCGCAATTTCGTTTCCCCACGCCCCCGCAATTTCATTTCCCCCTCCCCGTCGAAATTCGTTTCCCCCCTCCCCCGCAATTTTGTTTCCCCCCTCCCCCGCAATTTCGTTTCCCCCCCCTCCCGCCAATCTGTTTCATCCCTCCCGCCATTCGGTTTCACCCACTCCCGCCATTTCACCCCCTCCCGCCACCTACGAAATGCCCGAAGCTCTAGCGGAATCATTTTTTTGTCGCCCCTCGTGAGCCAATCACTGTTTTTCTCCAAACCCCCTTCCCAACATCTCAAGCCGAACCGCGTTGAATGTGCACCCTGGTTTTAAATCTTGGGGCCCCGAAACGAGCCCTTGACACACACATTTGGCCATATCTCCTCTCCAGAGGCGGGAACGGGAGAAGTATGGAGCAAGGGCCGGCAATGGGAGCACTAGACCGACCCTGACCGGAAAATAAAAGCGTACCTCCTTGACAGGCGCGGGAGAGGGGGCGGCAGGGGAGGCAGCAGCAGCGTCACCACCACCAGCGGCGGCAGCGGCAGCGAGGGCTTCTCTGCGTTGCTTCTTCTTCTGCGACTTGGAAAGCGCAGGTGAAGGCGTGGCCGCCGGGGAGTCCGCTTGGCGCTTGGCGCCCGCTGCAGGCTGTAGTGTGGCAGGGGGGGAGGCGGGAAGCGAGGGTGGGGGGTGGGTGGGGGAGAGGGGGGGAGCGGGACATGAGTTTTGGGTTTAAGGTTCTTCTTCTGCGACCTGGAGAGAGCAGGCGAGGGCGTGGCCGCAGGGGAGTCCGCTTGGCGCTGGGCGCCCGCTGTAGGCTGTAGAGGGGTGATAAGAGGGAGTAGTGGAGAGGGATGGGGGGTAAGAGGCGAGACATTGGGTTCACTGGTTTAGGGTTCACTGGTTCATTGCAGTGTGTGGAGGGTGTTGAGGGAATGGCACGGGAGCAAAGGGGTGTGAAGAAGGAAGCTAAGGAAGGCCCAAAATATTAAACCCGAAATCTGAAAGCCCGAATCTTAAAACCCGAAATATTAAAATTGACGAGACATGAAAGTCGGACAAGACAAGGATAGAGGCCTGGGGAGAATAATTAGGGAAGGGGGGGGAGGGAGGGAGAGGGGGGGGGGTGGGGGGGGGGGGGGAGGGGGCGGGGGAGCGCCAGGAGGGAAAACGAAAGAGAGAGAGGGGGGGGAAGGAAAAGAAGGGGAAAAGAAGACCCAGGGAGAATTGAGCGAGGCTAGCAGGAGGTTACACACATGACAGCAAGAGGGAGACGTACCTCAGGTGTAGCGGCAGGTTTAGCGGCAGCGGCAGCGGCGGCGGGCTTGGCTGGCTCAGCCGCGTCGGCCATCTGTTGAGTCAACGAGTGGTGTGAACAATGTGGGTGGGAAAGGTCGGTGAGAACAAGATCTGCAAGCAAGTTGGGAGGGTAGCAAGATCTGCTGCAAATCTTGCCAGGAAAACACCAAGCTAAACCCCAAGTCTCCAGGGACATTAAACCCCGAATCCCAGATTGATAACCATGGAAATCAGTACTATTAACCCTGAAAGGGAGATCACCCCGTTCAACCCCGGACAAGGAAAATCAGCACGCTAAAACCCCGAATCTTGCCAAGGAAATCGACTGCCCCAATTGCTAAACCCCGTATCCTGCGAGGTCATCACCATCATATCCTAAAGCCTTTGATAACCCCGCCGGCTCTTCCGCGAATTTACCCTCGGCTTTAAACTGCTTCAGATTCGATATTATTTCCATGACAGCGTGAACGCTGCTTCGTTGCACGGTCGCCTAACGGTCGCCAACGGTCGCATAACGGTCGCCTAAGGTTAGCGAAAAGTTCGCCTAACGACGGCAATGTTATGTTTCAAAGCTCACCTCTGCGTCCTTGCTCGGGCTTGCCGCCTTCTTCCCAGCCTTGGCCGCAAGGGCGGCAAGGGCCTTCTTGAGCGGCGGTGTATCCTCCGCCTCCTCCTCCTCCTCGTCGTCCTCCTCGATATCCTCCTCGTCGAAGTCATCCTCGTCCATGTCTGATCGCACAAGCAACCAGATGGCAACGCAGAGCGAAACACGGGAAACTAGCGTTAAGGGGGCTCATGGGGGCTCAAGTGGACTCCTCCTCCTCGTCCTCCTCAATATCCTTCTCGTCGAAGTCATCCTCGTCCATGTCTGGTCGCACGCAACCACCGGACAACGCAGAACGGAACACGTGGAAGGTAACAATAAACTCAGCAAATCAGGCAAGTAATTAGGGCAAGGCTCATCTGGTCCACCTTGCCTTCACCAACGAAACCGGGTTACCAGCACTCACCATAATCGTCATCGCCGCCGACGTCGCGAGTCTTGTAACCAGAGAAGAAAATGCTGTGCGAGCCGGAGTGGAAGAGGCTGAACGGCAGGTCGAGCACGAGATCAAGGCTCATCTGGTCCACCTTGCCCTTCACGAGCGAAACCGGGTTACCAGCACTCACCGTAATCGTCATCGCCACCGTCGCGCGTCTTGTACCCAGAAAGGAAAATGCTGTGCGAGCCGGAGTGGAAGAGGCTGAACGGCCGGTCGAGCACGAGATCGAGGCTCATCTGGTCCACCTTGCCCTTCACGAGCGTGCCCAGCACCACCGTCACCGGCGCCGGAGGAGCCTCGTCCTCGTCGTCCTCGTCCTCCTCGTCGACCTCCTCCCTCAGCTGCACCACCACTCTCTCGTTGTCCTTCGCTTGCACTCCCAGCGCCGCCTGTTGATCAGTGGAGCCAGATTTAGGAGGGCGTATTTTTCACGAGTTGGAACCGTGCGTGGCGCTCTATGTGCTACGAGGGCGCTACGGAGCTCAAGCGAGTGCATTTGCGTTTCTCAGAAAACGACCAGCCCTGCTTAGGTCCGCAAAGGTTCCGTCGTTTGAGCCTGGTTCGGGAATCAGACATAACGAGCTCCTGTCTTGCTCATATCGGATGCAAAAAAGCAGGGAAAAAACTAGTATTAGAAAAAGCTGAAAATGTTCACGTTGACGTGGGGGTACCTGGGAGATGTGGAGGTAGTCCGCATCGTCGTTGGGGTCCACTGTGAGGGTCTCCTTGGGCTTCACCTCCACGCCTGCACCAATCACGCACCCGATCGTACGAAAATCAATCGGACGGCCCAACGGTGCACATCACACAGCACAGGTGATGAAAATAAAAGAAAGTGTTTTGACTGTGCCTGTAGGCGAGGACATTATCACGGATGAATGGGACGAGGGAGCTGCTGAACGCGTTTTCAATTAAAGTAATAAATACATTCACGGATATGAGCCAGACAACGACACGACCAGAGAGATGAGAGCCAATGATTTGCTAGATTGTCGAACAAGGCGTTCTGAAGGACGGAGAAGAGGCAACAGAAAAAGGATCTCACCCCAGAAGCTCAGCTTTCCGTCCATCTTTTTTCTTGTAATTGATAAAAACAATCTGAACTTGGCGTTGCGAGGCGAAGACTACGTACAAGGCTGACCAGGACTCTGCTTCTGAACAAGGTGAATTCACAGTGAATTTATATTAGGTGGCTTTGAAGTTTGACTCCTCCATAGAGCTCCGTGGAGTTCTCAAGAGCCTGAGGGTGTGGGTTGGGGCAACAGATGCTGGTTTGCTATAATATCGAGGCACGAGCTGGTAACCACCATCGTGGAGGCCATTTTGCCCGTGGCGACGTTCGCCATAACCCGAACCCCTGGTCGTCCATGCAAAGCATGTTCCTGGCCCCAAAATCTGAACGCTTGGGGAGAATGCAATGCAAGACAAGAACCAGCAGCACCACATCCAGCTGGCTCACAAAATCTTGGAGTGTTCCCAAGGTTTGGCGAAAATCGGGGTTTCGCGGGTTTCTGGAATTTACTTCTGAACTCCACGAGTCTTCCCGAACCAGGTAACTTCAAAACCATTTACGCGGCTCCAGACCGAGCTACACCGCGAGGCTCGGCAGGAGCACAAGGAAGCCTGCAGTGGCCCTGCGACTCCGACAACCAAAATGGCGCGAACAGAACTACTGGTGGCTGTTGTGGTGCACCACCCCATAACCTTCTTTAGGTGTCTCCATATTTGGTTCGGATATTCACATGCCTAAACAGATGGCTATGAAAGAATAACCTCATAATAAGAATATGGCAGATTTTGGGTGCAAAAGGATGTGCTTCATCTTCTGTATGTTTTATTAGCTATTATTTATCACATCACAATCATGCTCCTTGTCCAACACCACCAAGCAAGCCCTTCTCTACATCCCCATCCCCATCACCACCACCACCACCACCACCCTTCTTCCCCCTTCCACTCCCCACCTTCACATCCTTCCAAAATGTCAACCCGGGTAATCCACGAACCTCCTTGTCAGTCATTTTCAACGAAGGTGCCTTGTATGTGATCTGCAGCAGGAGAGAATTGGCCATGACTCCCAGAGAGCTCACCCCCATGAGGGCCCCACATAAGGAGGGGGTGAGCATGGTGCCTGTGAAGGGCAGCAGCGCCCCTGCTGCCACTGGGACTCCAATCTGGAAGGGGTGAAGGGTAACAATGGGTAATAGGGGGTGCAGAGAGGAATGAGATTGAAGTGCTACTTAGGGTCCTTGTGATATGGAAAACAAGGGAGCAGTGCCCCTGCTGCCACCGGGAGTCCAATCTGGAGGGTAAATAAGTGGTGCAGAGAGTTGTCAGATGGTATTGGTATTCACGGGCGCATGGTGGAAGGCATATGCAGCCTCCCAATCTTATTCCGTGCAGAAATGAATAAGCTGATTGCGTGAGGAGGGAACAATCTTCTCACTGTGCTAGGTTCGCACCATGTTGTAGAGGAACGCCCAGGCGAGGTTCTGTCGAATCTTGTTGAAGGTGCAGCGGCTGAGGTGAATGGCGTCCACCACTTGAGTCACTCGGTCGCCCATCAGCACCACCACCAGCACCCACCCTCACCCCCCGTACTCATCAGGCACAGGCCCTTTCCTTGCTCATTCGGTTCCCCGAAAAGACGAGGGAGTGGGAGAAGGAGAGGGTGCCGGAGGGGGGGATTCTCACCATGTTGTACAAAAACGCCCAGGCGAGGTTTTGGCGGATTTTGTTGAAGGTGCAGCGGCTGAGGTGAATGGCGTCCACCACTTGAGTCACCCGGTCGCCCATCAGCACCACTGATGCCACCAGAACCAGCAGCACACCTGGGACCCCATACTCACAGGCCTCTCCTTGGTCATTTGATTTTCCGACAGCAAGAGTGGGGGTTGGAAGGGGCAATGTTTCTCACCATGTTATACAAAAAGGCCCAGGCGAGGTTCTGGCGGATCTTGTTGAAGGTGCAGCGGCTGAGGTGAATGGCGTCCACCACTTGAGTCACCCGGTCGCCCATCAGCACCACTGACGCCACGTCACTCGCCGCCCCCACCCCTCCCGCCATGGCTATGCCCACATCGGCTCGAGCCAAGGCAGCTGCGTCGTTCACCCCATCTCCCACCATCGCCACTCTGGTTCCTTTTGCCTGAAGGGCCGAAACGAAGTCTGCCTTGCCCTCTGGTTTCACGCCCGCGTAGACCTGTGTGGGGAGAGTGCATGGAGGGGAATGGGAGAAGTGAAGAGAATGGGAGAGGACGTGGGAAGGAAGTCACTCGGTCGCCCATCAGCACCACTGATGCCACGTCACTCGCTGCTCCTACCCCTCCCGCCATGGCTATGCCCACATCGGCTCGCGCCAAGGCAGCTGCGTCGTTCACCCCATCTCCTACCATTGCCACCCGGGTTCCCTTTGCTTGCAGGGCCGAAACGAAATCAGCCTTTCCCTCAGGCTTGACCCCTGCATACACCTGATGGCGGGAAAGGAAGGGAGGACAGGTCGTGGGATGGAAGTCTCGCGGTCGCCCATCAGCACCACTGATGCCACGTCACTCGCCGCCCCCACCCCTCCCGCCATGGCTATGCCCACGTCTGCTCGAGCTAGAGCCGCTGCATCGTTCACCCCGTCTCCCACCATCGCCACCCGGGTTCCTTTGGCTTGTAATGCTGAGACGAAATCAGCCTTGCCCTCTGGCTTTACCCCTGTGGCATACACCTGTGTGAGGAGAGAGAATCGGAACGGGAGAAGAGGAGAGAACGTAAGAAAGGATTGAAAGGAGGTGAGCTGTCAGTGCCCACCCCTCCCTCCACCCATGGCTATGCCCACGTCTGCCCGCGCCAACGCTGCTGCATCGCTCACCCCGTCCCCCACCATCGCCACTCTCGCTCCTTTTGCCTGCAGAGCTGAGACGAAGTCAGCTTTTCCCTCTGGTTTCACGCCTGCGTACACCTGTGGGAAGAGAATTGAAGGACACGAGAGGATGTGTGAAGGAAGTCAGATGAAGCGGATTCGCCACGTCACTTGCCGCCCCGTGTTTGAAGAAGTGTTTGATGAAGCGGATTTGAAGAAGTGTTTTGAGGTGACTTTTGAGTCGACTCAAAAGTCGAGACGTCTCAAAACACTTCTTCAAACACGAAGTCAGATGAAGCGGATTCGCCACGTCACTTGCCGCCCCCAACCCTCCACCCATGGCTATGCCCGCGTCTGCTCGGGCTAGAGCCGCTGCATCGTTCACCCCATCCCCCACCATCGCCACCCGGGTTCCCTTTGCTTGTAAAGCCGAAACAAAGTCTGCCTTGCCCTCTGGTTTCACGCCCGCGTATACCTGGGAGTAGGGGATGGATGAGGGGAGGACGGGGAGAGGGGATGGGAAAGAGGAGAAGAGGATGGGGAAGAGAGCGAGAGGTGGAATACCACCCCAGTTAGAGGCAGCACTCCCCAGCATCTCACCTCGTTCTCAGGGGTACCCAGGTTATAAACTGAGCTATCACCAGAGCAGCAAGCCTCGATTTGTCTTTTGAGTCGACTCAAAAGCAACCTAAAAAATAGTTTCCCGGTCCTTCCTGTAGCAACACTCGTATCGACGCAGCCGCCCACCTCACAGCATCTCACCTCGTTCGTTCTCAGGAATGACGACTTTGTCGACTTTGCTAAAAGCCAGGGCCGCAGGTCTCTTATCTCTCTCCTGACAGCAGCAGTGTGAAGCCCCATGGCCTGTAGCGCCGCTACAGCCACTAATACAGCTGCTACAGCCGCTACAGCTGCCACATGCAGGGGTGCTAAATGGCTTACCTCGTTTTCCGGGATGCCGACTTTGTGTGCGATTGCAAGGGCAGCCGGCCGCTTGTCCCCCGACAGCATGGCCGTGTGCAGCCCCATGGCCTGTAGCGCCGCTACAGCCGCCGCCGCCTCGTCGCGCACCTTGTCGACCAATGAGATGGCGCCCGCCAGCTGGCCGTCCACCCCCACGTACACTGTGGTCTCCCCTGGAGTGGGGTCACCTGCCATGGCAGGCCTGAGAGTCGGTGATGCGGGGGATGACCCTGCAGGGACGGTGCAGGGACGGTGCAGGGACGGGCGGGAAGGGGAGGGGAAGGGTGGACCATAGGGGGATGAGATGGCGCCTGCCAGTTGCCCGTCCACCCCCACATACACGGTGGTCTCGCCCAGGGTGGGGTCGCGTGGCATGGCAGGCCTGAGGGTGGATGATGCGGGGGATGACCCTGCAGGGACGGAGAGATGAGATGAGATGAGATGAGATGAGATGAGATGAGATGAGATGAGATGAGATGAGATGAGTTGAGATGAGTTGAGATGAGATGAGATGAGATGAGATGAGATGAGATGAGATGAGATGAGATGAGATGAGATGAGATGAGATGAGATGAGATGAGATGAACCTGGTGAGGGGAGCGGGGAGCGGGATGAGATGGAGCCTGCCAGCCTGCCGTCCACCCCCACATATACGGTGGTCTCCCCTGGGGTGGGGTCGCCTGGCACAGCAGGCCTTCCATTCAGTGATGCGGGGGATGCACATTCAACAAGACCTCACCTTCTGCAGCGCTGCTCATCAGATCAGCCTCCTCAAGTTCCACTGGCACATCACAGCCAGTATCTCTCAGGCAATTAGGCATCTTAAATGCAGTAAGATCTTACACCCCACAAGCCAAACAATCTCAGATCTCACCTTCTGCTGCGCTGCTCATCAAGTCAGCCTCTTCCAACTCCACTGGCACATCGCAGCCGTTATCTCTCAGCCAGTCAGGCGTGCCACGTGCAGTAAGATCTTACACCCCACATACTGAACAATCTCAGATCTCACCTTCTGCAGCGCTGCTCATCAAGTCAGCCTCTTCCAACTCCACTGGCACATCGCAGCCGTTATCTCTCGGCCAGTCAGGCGTGCCACGTGCAGTAAGATCTTACACCCCACATACTGAACAATCTCAGATCTCACCTTCTGCAGCGCTGCTCATCAAGTCAGCCTCTTCCAACTCCACTGGCACATCGCAGCCGTTATCTCTCAGCCAGTCAGGCGTGCCACGTGCAGTAAGATCTTACACCCCACATACTGAACAATCTCAGATCTCACCTTCTGCTGCGCTGCTCATCAAGTCAGCCTCTTCCAACTCCACTGGCACATCGCAGCCGTTATCTCTCAGCCAGTCAGGCGTGCCACGTGCAGTAAGATCTTACACCCCACATACTGAACAATCTCAGATCTCACCTTCTGCTGCGCTGCTCATCAAGTCAGCCTCTTCCAACTCCACTGGCACATCGCAGCCGTTATCTCTCAGCCAGTCAGGCGTGCCACGTGCAGTAAGATCTTACACCCCACATACTGAACAATCTCAGATCTCACCTTCTGCTGCGCTGCTCATCAGATCAGCTTCTTCCAACTCCACCGGCACATCACAGCCGTTGTCTCTCAGCCAATCAGGAGTGCCCACCACCACATGCCGCCCGCCCACCACCGCCGCCGCCCCAGCACCCGGCTGCTGGAAAAACGACCCATCCTCCACCCGCGCTCGCCTCGCCTCCTTCCCGGCTGCTTCCACTATCGCCGTCGCCAGGGGATGCGTGGAATTCCGCTCAACTGCCGCCGCCAACACCAGCACCTCCTTCCTCCTCTCTTCTTCTCCTTCTTTCCCCCCTCCTCCTCCCTGTCTCCGAACCCCATGCTCCTTCTCTTCATCGTCAGACCCAGCGCCATGCAAGCGCACGCGGGTGACGGTGGGGCGGCCGAGGGTGAGTGTGCCGGTCTTGTCAAAGAGCACGGTGTGCACGGCAGTGGAGCGCTCCAACACGTCTCCCCCGCGGATCAGCAGCCCCTTGCGCGCTGCTACTGCTGTTCCAACCAACACCGCTGTGGGTGTGGCTAGGCCCAGGGCGCATGGGCAGGCAACAACCTGGCGGGGGAGAGGAAAGGGGCAGGGGATGGGAAGGAGAGGGGGGGGGGAAGTGAAGGGATAGAGGGCGGTCAAGGCCCACACTGACTCTCACCAGCACGGTCAAGGGGCAACAGAGGAGCTGCTCCTCTCACCAACACTCCACAGCAGCCTCAAGTTTTGAGTCGACTCAAAACTCCTCTCACCAACACTACACAGCAGCTTCATTCCACTCACCAGCACGTTGCATGCGAGCGGCAGCGCTAGCAGCATGCTCTGCTCTCCCCAAGGCCAGGCGCAGCGGTGATGGCATGGCAGCAGGGACGAGCCTGGGGCCGTTGATTCACTCTCACAGATCACCAGAACCCCACACGAGCCTCACTCCACTCACCAGCACGTTGCATGCGAGCTGCAGCGCCAGCAGCAGACTGCCTCCAGGGCCGGCAGCAGCGAGGGCAGCAGGGACGAGCTTGGGGACTCACAGATTACCTCTCAACCAATCCATAGGCCAGTCACAAGTGCGCACTCCCCCTCCACTGACCAGCACGTTGCATGCGAGCTGCAGTGCCAGCAGCAGACTGCCTCCAGGGCCAGCAGCGGCGAGGGCAGCCGGGACTAGCTTGGGGCCTTTGAGCCTGTCTCAGAACCGAACCACAGGGGGTATGAATCACCAACACTCCACTCCACTCCCCCTCCACTCACCAGCACGTTGCAGGCTAGCTGCAGCGCCAGGAGAAGACTTCCACCAGGCCCAGCGGCAGCGAGGGCAGCCGGGACGAGCTTGGGTCCGAGGGTGCTCCAGAAGGCGAAGGTGGCTGCTGCTATGCCCATCACCCCGTAGCAGAACTTGCCGGATATCTGGTGGGGGGGGGAGGGGGGAAGGAGGGCGGAGGGGTGTTCAACAGGGGGAAAGTGCAGGGGTTACAGGGCAGGCAGGCAAGGGCACGGCAGAGCAGACAGAGCGGGGCAGCCAGGACGAGCTTGGGGCCGAGGGTGGACCAGAAGGCGAATGTGGCTGCTGCTATGCCCATCACCCCGTAGCAGAACTTGCCTGATACCTGTTGGGGGGGAAATCGGGTGGGGTGGTGGGGGGAGAGTTGTTTGGGGCTACAGAGCAGAGCAGGGCAGGGCAGGGCAGGGCAGGACAGGGCAGGGCAGGGCAGGGCAGGACAGGATGAGGAAACTTGGAGCAAGGGTGGGAGCAGAGAAGAGGGTGAAGGTGGCGGCTGCTATGCCTATCACTCCTCCTCCCCGTGCCTCACAACACAATGTGTGCATCTCTCTGCACGGACCCTCATCTCATCCCATCTCATCCCACTAGAATGATTAGAATCCACTCCACGCACGCACCTGCTATGCTTCTCGTCCCCTCGATTTTTGAGGCGCCTCAAAGACCCTCATCTCATCTCATCCCATCCCACTAGAATGATTAGAATCCACTCCACGCACGCACCTGCTATGCTTCTCGTTCCCTCGATTTTTGAGGCGCCTCAAAGACCCTCATCTCATCTCATCCCATCCCACTAGAATGATTAGAATCCACTCCACGCACGCACCTGCTATGCTTCTCGTCCCCTCGCACACTATGCCCCTCACCTGATCAGCGAATCGTTGAACGGGCGCCTGTCTGCCAACACGGTTTGCTGCTTGCACTGCTGCACCCCGTGCCTGCTCGCCAGCCCCCACTGCCTCTCCGTGTCTCACCTGGTCGGCAAATCGTTGAACGGGTGCCTGGCGGCCCTGAGCCTCCTCCACCATGCGCACTATGTCTGCCAGCACTACATCCCCCCCTTGCCTGCGCTGCTGCTTATCCAGCCTGCTCACCTTCCTCTCCTCGCACTCTTATCCTCTCACGGACTCACCTGCTGTGCCTCTTCTCTTTTCCCCCTACCTGGTCGGCGAATCGCTGAACAGGTGCCTGTCTGCCCTGAGCCTCCTCCACCATGCGCACTATGTCTGCCAACACCGCATCCCCGCCCTGCCTGCTCGCCTGCACCACCATTGCCCCATTGAAATTCACCGTTCCTGCTGTCACCTCGTCCTGACAGGTGTGGGTTTGGGAGTGGGGGGAGAAGGGGAGGGTATATGACTTGGGGCAGACAGTGAGACAGACTGCTGAGAGAGAAAATGTGAAACAAGGGGAGTGTGTGGATTGCGCCAGACAGGGCGATAAGAAGAGGGGTTACATTTTAAAGGATTGGCTAGAAATGCCCGGATATAAAAACAACGGACGGAATAATCCCAGCCTGCTTCAGCACTGGCAGCGGCTCCCCTGTGATGCTGCTCTCGTCCACTGTGCTGCGCTATCTGCACTCCACGTTCAGCATGAGCTGTTTCTCAACGCACACTCCGCACACCCGCACGCACGCACGCACGCACGCACGCACGCACGCACGCACGCACGCACGCACGCACGCACGCACGCACGCACGCACGCGCACACACACACACACACCGATGCCCGTTTACCATACCACCCACTCACCCCAGCCTGCTTCAGCACTGGAAGTGGCTCCCCCGTGATGCTGCTCTCGTCCACTGTGCTGCGCCCACCCGCCACTGTGCCGTCCACTGGTATGCGATCCTGGTGAGCAGGTAGGAGGAGGAGGGGACGGGGGGACAGGAAAATCTTAGTGTCGACCTGCTATGCTGCATAGGTCCTCTCATCCACTGTGCTGCGCCCGCCCGCCACTGTTTTTGAGGCGCCTAAAAAAACTTAGTGTCGACTCAAGGCTCATCCACTATGCTGCGCCCCCAGCCACTGTGCCGTGCATGCGACGCTGATGGATACCAGGGGGTTGGAGGGGGGAATGGGTGATCGGGGATGGGAGGACCTTCAAGTTGACTCGCAATCATCCACTGTGCTGCGCCCTCCCACCACTGTGCCGTGCACGGGGATGCGATTCCATTCCCGATGCATTCAAAGAGGGGCGGTCGGTAGGAATGGGGGGACGATTTCTCTTGTCGACACAAAACACGGCAAGAAGCAAACGGAGCAAAACCCAGAGAGGGCGAAACGAGTTCTGGGGTCGTTAAAAAAAAAGCATGAGAGCACGGAAAAAACTTCGAGGTGGGCAAGCTTGCATCTTTTTTTGAAGTTCCCAAAAGTGACTTGAAAAAACATGAGAGAGCCCCGGGGCAGGAGGCTCATAGAGCAACAGACCCCGGGGCAGACGAGCACTCGGTCGCCCACTTGAATGGCCTCTATTGGCACCACCTCCGTTGCTGCGTCTCTGAAACTGCCACGTGATAAAAGTTGTATTTTGAGACGTCTCAAAATACAACTTTTGAAACTGCTGACTGCTGCTGCTGCCAGAACAAACTTAAAGGCCAAACCCCGAATTACACAACGAAGTCAACGTGGAATTTGCAGGTTCGGGAAACCCCAGGAGGAGGTTCGGTGGGAAAATCGAAAACCAATCGCATAAAAAAACCACTCAAAAATCTGGACCAATCGCGTGAAAGTGGTGACAGTTTCACGCCCGACTCGGTAATTCTGGGTGTGGCCTTTAAGTGCTCACTGTACACTGTACAGAGCAACAACGCGAGGCACACATACAGACCCCGGGGCGGACAAGCACTCGGTCTCCCACTTGGATGGCCTCTATTGGCACCACCTCCGTTGCTGCATCGCTGAAACTGCTGCCCCCACGGATTCAAGTGCAAGCATGAGAAAGCAAAAAGGCAAGGCGAGAGGCATACATACCCCTGGTCGCACTAGCACTCGGTCTCCCACTTGGATGGCCTCTATTGGCACCACCTCCGTCGCTGCATCGCTGAAGCTACTGCTGCGGGATCAAGTGCACACAGAACAGGGCAACAGAACAACAAAGAGAGAGGCGTACATACCCCTGGTCGCACTAGCACTCGGTCGCCCACTTGGATGGCCTCTATTGGCACCACCTCCGTTGCTGCATCGCTGAAACTGCCAGCTGCTGCTGCTGCTGGGGCTGCTGAGGCTGCTGAGGCTGATGCTGAGGCTGTAGCTTCCGATCTTGTTGCAGCAGCAGCAGGCGAGGAGGGTGGGGAGGGCGAGGGCGAGGAGGAGGGAATGATGCGACGGGCTTGAGGGGGCAGCAGGGACAGCAGAGCTGCCATGTCACTGGTGGCCTGGAGGAACAGGGAGTGGGGGGGAGAGGGTAGCAAGGGGAGAGATGGGGGAGAAGGAAGTGAGGGACGGGACGATGCGACGGGCTTGAGGAGGCAAAAGAGATGACAGAGCTGCCATGTCACTGGTGGCCTGGAGGAGCAGGGAGTGGGGGGGAGGGGTGAGGAGAGAGGGGAGAAAGGGGGGAGAGAAGGGAGAAAGGGAGGGGATGATGCGACAGGCTTGCAGAGGCAGCAGGGATAAGAGCGCTGCCGTGTCGCTGGTGGCATGCACTGCAGGACGACTTTTGAGGCGCCTCAAAAGGACCCCCAGCCTGAGACGAGCTGCCACCGGGGTGAACAGGGTCTTCAAGACCAGGGGGGCGCGGGTGGGGGGAGGGAGAAGTTTGAGTGCTTGGCGTGCAGCGGTTTCCTCCAAAAGGAGCCGTCGGTGTCGAAAGAAAACAGACCGGAAAATGGGTAGAAGGAAATCTCCAGGATAAGAGCGCTGCCGTGTCGCTGGTGGCCTGAACTGCAGGAGCCAGAAGAAGTTGGGAGGATAGGGGATAGGGGGAAAGGTTGCACAGGGGGAGAAGAGGGAAACAAGAAGTACGAGCGAAATTGCGGAGAAAATGAGGAGAACAAGTGACAGAATAGGAGGGAGGACCTGGGGTGGATATCTATGTGCGATGTTGAAACGTAGCTTCTTCTGAGCTGGTCTTACACATGCATATATAGAATGTATAAGTTCGCATGCCAAAAAAAAAAAAAAAACAAAAAAAAACAGCAGCAGCAACAACAGTTTGCATCTTTGCCAGGACGCCCTGGCAGGCTTGCCTTACCTTGATCTTGGTCCGCTCTACCAGCGGCTTCCCCAGCAGCACAAACGCCAGCAGCACAACTCCTCTTCGCCTGATCTTACCCTTGTCTTTTTATTCCCCCTCCTTCCCCCTCACCCCCTCCTCACCTTGATCTTGGCCCTCTCTTCCAGTGCCTTCCCCAGCAGCACGAACGCCAGCAGCATGAGTGGCTCCTCAAAGAACGCGGGCCAGCCCTGAGGGGAGAGGGAAGGGGAGAGGGTTGGAGGGGAGAAAAACGGGATTAGTGTGAAATGACTCAGGGGGAAGATAAGAGGCCCTCTCTTCCAGTGCCTTCCCCAGCAGCACGAACGCCAGCAGCATGAGCGGCTCCTCAAAGAACGCCGGCCAGCCCTGAGGGGAGAGGGAAGGGGAGAGGGTTGGAGGGGAGAAATAACGGGATCGGTGTGATATGACTCAGGGGGAAGATAAGAGGCCCTCTCTTCCAGTGCCTTCCCCAGCAGCACGAACGCCAGCAGCATGAGCGGCTCCTCAAAGAACGCGGGCCAGCCCTGGAGGTAGGGGAACGGGGGAGGGTTGGAGGGGAGGGGAGAAATAACGGGATCGGTGTGAAATGACTCAGGGGGAAGATAAGAGGCCCTCTCTTCCAGTGCCTTCCCCAGCAGCACGAACGCCAGCAGCATGAGCGGCTCCTCAAAGAACGCGGGCCAGCCCTGGAGGTAGGGGAACGGGGGAGGGTTGGAGGGGAGGGGAGAAATAACGGGATCGGTGTGAAATGACTCAGGGGGAAGATAAGAGGCCCTCTCTTCCAGTGCCTTCCCCAGCAGCACGAACGCCAGCAGCATGAGAGGCTCCTCAAAGAACGCGGGCCAGCCCTTGTGAGAAAAGGCGAGAGGAGGGAAGGAAGAAGAGAAAGAAACGAAGTGGAACCGGAGAGGGAGAGGGAGGATGAGAAGCTCACCGACGAGCGTGCGTGTCACTGTCACAGCAGAGCAACGGCTGTGGGTGGGTGGCATGGAAGAGAAGAAGGCATGTATGCTATACTATGCAGCCGCACTCACCAGCTTTGGCACAGCGGCGGCAACAGCGCTGACAGCAAAGGAGGAGACGGCACCCAGACTGACTAGGGTGTTCATGTTGGGCGCCCCTCGCCTCAGGCTGCTCCACCCGTCCTGCAGCAACCTGATGCAGTGAGGGGGAGGGGGGGGGAAGGAAGGGGAAGTGGACGGCAGGGCAGTGGGGGGGAGAAGGGGAGGGGGGGGGAAGGAAGGGAAAGTGGACGGCAGGGCAGTGGGGGGGAGAAGGGGAGGGGGGGGGAAGGAAGGGGAAGTGGACGGCAGGGCAGTGGGGGGGAGAAGGGCAGGCGTGTAGGGGGACGTGGCTGACGAGCATGTTAATGTTGGGCGCCCCCCTCCTCAGGCTGCTCCACCCATCCTGCAGCAACCTGAGATAGCATACGGGGCAGGGCAGGGGGAGGGCACGTGAGGAGGAGTAGAGCAAGGATGGGGGAGAAAGGATGGGAGGAAGAGGATGGAGTCAAGGGAAAAGAGGAGAGCAGGGCAGGGGAGGGGAGGGGAGGGGAGGGGAGACGAAATTGCACCCAGCCCCACACTCACTTGCGACCAGTTCCCAGAAGGGCAGTCAGAGAAAGCAGAGCATGCACGAGCGTGGACTGGAGGGCGTGGGTCCAGGCGGGCAGCTTCCAGGCAAGGGGAGGGTGAGAGCAGTGACAGGGAAGAGGACGAGACGAGAGGAGCGCACTCACTTGCGGCCGGGGCCAAGGAGGGCAGTGAGGAAGAGGAGCGCATGCACGGGCGTGGAATGGAGGGCATGAGTCCAGGCGGCAGCTTCCAGGCGAGGGCGGGTGAGAGCAGTGACGGGGAAGACGACGGTGCACCCTATTTTCACACTCACTTGCGACCGGGGCCGAGAAGGGCAGTGAGGGAGAGTAGAGCGTGGACGGGCGTGGAGTGCAGGGCGTGCGTCCAGGCAGGCAGCTTCCAGGCGAGGGAGGATGCCTGCAGCATGTGCGACGCGTGGCCCACCAGGCACGCTGCTGCCAGCGCCCACGCCACCAGGAGCCGACGGCCTGGGAGGGGACAGAATGTGGCGGGGTGGGGGCGCGGGGGGAGGAGTACGGCAAAAATCTGCTCAAATTCACCACTTGCAATGAACCAACTAGTCAGCACTGAGAGGAAAAAAAGCATGCTTATATAAGCATACAAATGGTATGGTATGGTATGGTATGGTATGGTATGGTATGGTATGGTATGGTATGGTATGGGCGGACATACTGTTAGAATATAGCAAGCAACACTCACTAGACATGAGCAACGAGCGAACCGAACACGTTTGTCTCGAACAGTTTTCCTAAATGTTAGTGTTCCCCGTTCGAGTATAGGGTCGAACAGTTTTGAGGCAAGGCCGAACACTAAGGTGTTTGACCCGAACTCGAACAGTTTGCCTTGGGGGGTTCTTTCAGTATAGTCACATTCAGGCAGGGCGAGTGTACTAGAAGCAATGTCACGTTCCCTATAGCCCTACAAGAGATATAGTTAGGCTTGGCGCAGATCTGGTGGATATCCAATTTCACCTTGCTTAACTCCAACCTAAACTGTAATGCCCTTAGTTCCTTTTTTTAACCGTCTCCTACCCTAACCCAACCTTATACCTAACGTATCCAGCCACAAAGTGGAATTTTAACCGTGGGAGGGAATGTGTTAGTTTAAGTGGGTAGGGGGCGGAATGCCATCCTTAGGCTATATCGACGATTTAGCTCATTCTTGAGCTCAATCGTCGCCCTCCCCTTTTAGATTCAACAGCGCGTCAAACTTTGATGCGCAGAAAAATGCACGAACACCTAGGTGTTTGCGACGAACACTATGTGTTCGCGAACACCTAGGTGTTCGTGCATTTTTTTGCACACGAACATTCGAACAGTCGAACGTGTTCGTGACGAACACCAAGGTGTTCGTTACGGACAATTTGGGGCAAAAAAACCATTCGAACACGTTCGAGTCGAACAGTTTCGAGTCGAACCGAACAGGGGTTCGAATTTTTGCTCATGTCTACTCACCACTGTCTTTCAGCCTTTTCATGCGCTCCTCCCTCTTGGACTCAATTGCTGACGCCGCTCTACCAGAGAAGCCGGCAGCAGCACCAGCAGCAGTAGCAGCAGCAGACGGCCTTCCTGCTTCTCCCTCCTCCCCATCTGCTCCTCCTACTGGTGCCCCCACTGTCACCGCCACCTGCCCTTCCTCTGCTGCTGCGCCTCTTGAGCCCTTGGCTGACTCCTCTGGCGAATTGGGATGGGAAAGGAAGGTGCAAGTGAGGGTTAGGTTCAGACACTAGCAGACGGCCCTCCATCCTCCCCCTCCTCCACTCCTCTTTCCTGCACCCCCACTGTCACGGTCACCTGCCCTTCCTCTGCTGCTGCACCTCTCGGGCACTTGGCTGACTCCTCTGGGGGGTTGGGGTGGGAGAGAGAGGTGCAAGAGAGAGTTAGGTTCAGACACTAGCAGACGGTCCTCCCCCGTCCCCCTCTCCCACTCCTCCTCCCGGCGCCCCCACTGTCACCATCACCTGCCCTTCCTTCCTCTGCTGCTGCGCCTCTCGAGCCCTTGGCTGACTCCTCTGGCGAATTGCGGTTACCACGTGGATGATTGTTACACATGTGGGGTCAAAGCAGGTTTGAGAACATAGGGAGAGGAGGTACGAATGGGGCTTACGTCCGGCCCAGGCATTTTGGGATGCACTGACGTGCCTTCAAAGCATTGAGGTGGTTTTTGAGGCGCCTCAGAAATCACAGCAGGTTTGAGAGCATAGGGAGAGGAGAGGTACGGATGGGGCTCAAACATAGGAAGGGATCACCACAGCAGGTCCGGCCCGGGCACTTTGGAGTGCACTGACGTGCCTTCAAAGCACGGACCCGGTGATTTGGCTGAAATATTCAAGGCTGCAAACCCCTGCGAATCTCTCAATGCCCCCGCTCCCACCACCACGCCACGCCCCCCCCCTTCTGCCAGCCCTGCCCCTACACCAAGACCCAACCCAACACGCACCTCTGAGCTTCGACTCGAACCCACACTCGGTCAAATACCCTGCCAACGCCCATCCAACCTCCGCTCGCCTCTGCTCCTGCCACTCCCTCGACGCCCCTGCTCCCCCTTTTGTTGCCCCTGCCCTTACACCACTACCCAACCCAACACGCACCTCTGAGCTTCGACTCGAACCCACACTCTGTCAACTACTCCACCAACGCCCGCCCAACCTCCACCCTTCTCTGCTCCTGCCACTCCATCAGTGCCCCCGCCCCCTTACTTGCTTCCCTGCCATTACAGAAATTCCCCAACACGCACCTCTGAGCTTTGACTCGAACCCACACTCTGTCAACTACCCTGCCAACGCTCGCCCAACCTCCACCCGCCTCTGCTCCTGCCACTCCCTCACTCGCCCCTTTGCTGCCCCTGCCCTTACATAACCACGCACCTCTGAGCTTCGACTCGAATCCACACTCTGTCAGATACTCTGCTAGTGCTCGTCCAACCTCCACCCGCCTCTGCTCCTGCCACTCCCTCCCCCCTTCTGCCGCTCCTGCCCCTCCATCCGCCCACCCGTGGCCCCCAGCAGCATCGTCAGCAGCAGGGGCGGTTGTAGCGGCTGTGGTTGTGGCAGCTGTGGCGGGGGCGGCGGCTGTAGGGACAGCGGATGGTGGCTCACCCCTGGCCAATCGGATGGTGACAAGTGCCGTCTCCATGGGAAGGTTCACGGAAGCAGAAACCACAGGAGGCTGGAGAGAAGGGGGAGAGGATGGGAGGAAAAGGGAGGAAGAATGGAGAGAGGGAGGTGAGGGGAATGGCAGCTTATTAGAGAATCCTAAGAGGCTGGTGGAAGCATGGAAGACGAGCAAGTGGGGGGCCATGGAAGGAAAGGGAAAGGCGGAGGGAATGGGAACGGGGAAAGGGGTGGGGGACGGGACGGGGTGGGAGAAAAGGAAGGGGAAGCTTGTGAAAGCAGTAGTGCTTTAAATGGAGGCAAGCAAGAGGGTGATGCAAATGGCAGCAAGGTCAAGTCACACTATGCTTTGAGACGTCTCAAAAAAAGGTCAAGTCACACTATGCCTGCTGCAATGCCCAAGTCCTGTCTCACTGCACTTGGGCTCAGCTGCACATTCTGTTCTAGCATAGCATCTCCTTCTGAGGCGCCTCAGATGTATGTAGGTGACTCTTGGGCCGCCTAGGAAAGAAAGAAAAGCAATTGAGGCGCCTTAAAGAGAGTGAGTGATGATACAAAAGGCAGAAATGTCTATTCCAAGTTGTGCCTAATGTATAGCCCTGCCCCTCTACACTTGAGCTCAGCTGCACTTTCCTGCACTTGGGCTCAGATGGGACACACTTGAGCATCTTCTTCTCTCCTGCACCTTTTGAGTCGACTCAAAAGTCAACTCGCTAATGCATAGCCCTGCCTCTCTACACTTGGGCTCAGATGGGACACACTTGAGCATCTTCTTCTCTCCTGCACCTTCCAAGATGGCTCCCTCTTTCTCTCACCTGCAATTGAGAACCAGCCTCACCTGTGACTCGAGAATGTTCTTCACGGAAGCAGCACAGCTGCCACACGCCGACGAGGCGGTGAGGCAGCGCGGGCCGATGGTTCCCATTGCGCAGCTGCATAATTCTGGAATCCTCTTCTCACTTGCAATTGAGAACCAGCCTCACCTGTGACTCGAGAATGTTCTTCACGGAAGCAGCACAGCTGCCACACGCCGACGAGGCGGTGAGGCAGCGCGGGCCGATGGTTCCCATTGCGCAGCTGCATAATTCTGGAATCCTCTTCTCACTTGCAATTGAGAACCAGCCTCACCTGTGACTCGAGAATGTTCTTCACGGAAGCAGCACAGCTGCCACACGACATGCCCTGGGGGAATGGAAGAGGGGAGGGAAGGTGAGGGTGGGTGGAAGGAGGAGGGTATGTGGTCAAAGTGTGGGGGGCAGGAGGGGAGGGATGTTGAGGGTGGGTGCATGGGTAGATCTGCAGGACAGGGAAGAGATGGGTGAGTATGGAGGGGGGGAAGAGCATTGCAGGGAAACTGAGAAAGGGGAAAACTCTCAGGCGTAACACAAAGCCTACGAGACATGCCCACTGCACTCCACCGTTCCTTGATTCACCAAGTGCAAATTCGCCTGGAACCACTATGAACTGCTAATTGTGTGAGTATACTATTATGCAAGTCCCCATCACCCTTCATGCCTACGCCCCCCACTCACCCCCACATCCAGCACCACTGTGTCCTGAGCTCCCCCTCCTAGTCTTGACTATGCTGGAATCACTTTTACGAGTTCTCAGAAGTCATTTCAGCTAGGCCCCCTACTCACCCCCACATCAAGCACAACAGTATCTTGAGCTCCCCCTCCCAAACTCGACTCCGCCGCCACGTGCCCACTTGCCGCTTTTGTCCGCATCTGCCTCTCCCCGCCCCAACTCTCCATTCCCCCCCATCCGTCACCCGCGCTTCCCCCGCGCCCCCATGACCCGCCTCCGCCTCCCCCTCCCCCGAATCCCCCCACCCCCCATCCCCCGCCTCCGCCGCCGCCGCTTCCGTCGTGAACCAGCGCTTGGGAAATGCTCCCGAACGGCGGCCGGCCGGCACGGCATTGACACGTGGCAGCGAAGCAACGCGCTGCGGCGGCTCGCGCGGCGCACGCGCACGCGGCGGCGCTGGATGCGGTCAACTTAAGAGAAGACCCGGCGAAGGTTGCAAGTTGGTGACCGAGCGAGAAAGGCGGATTGAGGGGAGCGGAAGCAGCGGCATTGATCGCAGCGGGGATAAGGCTTCTGGGTTGGGAAAGCCAGGAAACAGCGCTATCCGTAGAGGCGGAAAGACGAGACGAAGAGTAATTCGGCGGAAGAAAGACTGATTGTGAGTGTCTAAGGTAGACCGAACGCGCTGAGGTAATTTTCCTGGAAATGGTATGGGCACGTGTGAAGGATGACGTGGCAGTAACGGGGTAGCGATGGCGGTTCCACCTTCCATTGATTGAACCGCGAGCTGCGGATTGTGGTGATTGGCTGATGGAACGAAACGGGGTTACCGCTGAGTAACACCGATACGCCTGAGGGAGCACTTGCGGAAACACCTGGCCGTGCATAGCTGCGTTGCCTGCGTTTCCTGGACTCCTCGCAGTTTCTGAGAAGGTCTTTACAGCAGCAGATGGTGAATTCGTTGCAATGGAACCCGATACTGAATGCAGGCGCGCATGAGCAGCGTGACAGGAAACAGACGAGTTCATCCCGCGCTTGACGGACCAGCGCTCTGAATCTCTGGACTAGATTGCAAAACGATCTCGCCTCTAGTCTAGACCTCGGAACCAGGAGGAACCTCCGAATTCCCCTACCGGAACCAGGTCTCACAATCCTCCTGAGGAGAAGGTCGACGAAGCGATTCTTGGGAGAAATTGATGGATGAAATGACGGCCAATGCAGTGAACGTTGTGAGAGGAAGGAAAGTCAGAGGATCCCAAGGTCACAACGTACTGCTGGATCCAGCAATACATTTCCACCAGTTTGGGAAGGTGTGAGAGGCGGGAATGGCGGGAAATAGAGATGTCAGGAAAGATTCAGATTCGTTCTGAGGAGGTACAGAGTGGTGGTCAACAGGTGATCTCGAGGAGTTGGGGGAACGAAACGTACACAGGCGATTGATGTCGTGAAATGAAACTGCTGAGACGTACGAGCATCATCAAGCTGGCCAGCCTGACAGCTTCGTGTGGTACGACATTCAGCGTACGGTTTTTCAAATCCCTGATGTCCAATCAAATTGGTGTACACGCGTCAATGGATGAGGCAGAACACGGCCAATGTGGCCTTACGCTCACGTGGCATGCGGTTCGATGCTTCCTGAAATGGGCACAGCCAAGGGATTAGTGAAAACTGCGTGTTCGCGATATAAGCGGAGCTATATTCACTCCTTTCCTAGCGATAATACGGATAGTCCCAATTTTCAAGTTTCGCTGCCACCATTGGTGTACATAATGTTGTGCACTGTAAGAGTTTCTTAGACCAGTCATCTTGGTTCTGAACCTGCTACCTGTTGCAGATAACAGAGAGCCTCTTTGTTTAGTTGGCATAGATTGCAACATGTGTGAAGAAACATCCAAACACTCCCCTGCTTTTCAACCTAAACACACAAAAACATTGAACCATATATCCATTTAGGCCTCCTCGTCCTCCACCACCTTGGGGCCAAGACCCTTGAAGCCCTCAGCAGGGAGATCAGCCACGGTGACAATGGAGTAGAACTCCTCAGTGGCGTCCTCATCCTCGTTGCGCCGCCGAGCAATGCGCACGCGCACACGGCGGGGAACATTGCGCACACCGCGTGACCATACTTGCTTGTTGAGCTTCACATCCACACGCACATCCTTGGTGTTCATCGTCTTCGCAGCAAACTTCCGGATCTCCTTGATGGCCTTGGGAGCCTTTTTCTTGAATGTACTGAGGGAGAAGGGATAGAGGAATAAGAGGGATGGGAAATGATGAATTAAGGGAAGCTTGGTAGAATTATTGGTAAACAAGCTCTTCATCACACACAAAGAGAACGAAATGGTGAAAAACGTTGCGCAGCCAGCCAGCCATGTCCATTTCTCATACAGGACGGGAGCGAAACAAATATGAGCAGAACGGCAAGAACTGGCACACGGGCATGGAGACGGACTCCAAACCACGCTACAACGCTTAAAATGCGCGCAGTCAATGATGAAACGCAATCTCTAAAACATCGATGTCAAAAACAATGAAGGCTGCACGATAGAGCTAGAACGGGAGTACTATGTCCAGCAACTATGACGGCAAGCTAGACGAGGTCACATCAGCACGCAAAAGATGCACCTCCCTCCCTCAGACTATCTCCCTGATAAGGATAATTCAATCCTGCGTAAAGGGTACTTCGCCAAGCCATGAAAGTCGACGGCTTCGTGATCGCAACAGAGGTCGCTGTTTCACCATGCTCCTGTGCGGTTAGGCTTGCTTTATCTACGTCGTTTTGGCGTTCATTCGAGCGCCTCTAAAACAACGGATACCGAACCTAGGGCGCACAAATGGTCATCGAAGGTTTTAGGGTAGCGATCTCTAAACGGAACCCAGAATGCATCTATGTAGATTGCAGCGCAAGAATCTGAACTATCTCAACGATGTGTAACGAGCAGCAACTAGACTTAAAACTAGTCTTAATACTAGCCGACCCTCCTGCCGTCTCGCGCAATAGAACGTGCACCACTATAACCGCAACTGCATCAAAGTACAATAAGATAAGAGGAAACGAAACGGCGTCCAGAAGCAGCAGACGAGCTGATAGACTGAGCGAAGTGCAAGATAGACAAAATCGCACCAGCCATGGCAGCGCTTGTGGAGGTTGATGGTGTACTCGCGAGTGACGATCTCGTCCTTGCGCACCTTCTTCTCAACCATCTTTGCGTATCTGATGGGTCGACAAGGGAAACCTAATTGGCGAGCCTAAGGAGGTTCGCGGAGCTACTGCGGCTGCTGCAGAGCTGTTAGGGCAGAAAGGGGAAATCACGTGAAACAGAGGGAATTTGTGAGTGGGTAGGGGACAGGGGAGAGCGAGAGGGGGCGAGCGAGAAAGGCTTCGGAGGGAAGGGGGTTTGACCCATCTATCCAACGGTTGGGATCGCTTGAGGCCTTCGCTCTGTATCAAATTGCTTACGACTTAACATTTTTCCCTAGTACGTGGGTTTATCGAACCTACCTGAAAAGGATACAACTCTGCACTTGCGAGCTCCATCAATGTTCCATCTGGACATTCTATTATAAAGGATTCAGCTTGTATCGGCTAACTCCAGACGAACCATCCAGCGAAATGACTTTCCTGGCACTGCCACCTCAGCAGTGCAGGTGACTCGGACACGGCCTGTGTGGAGCGACCACGCGGACCTCCGTGAGCCAACCGCGTCTTTCCTCCCTCACCACAGACATCACCATCTCATCACCCACTTGACTGACCGTCAGCCAGAAACTATTCGTTCGTGAACAGTCAAATTCCGCTCCATCCCTGTATGTTGAATCCATAACCTTGAGAATACCTATTTCATTCCCTGATTTTATCCCATCAAGGAAGTTTTGAGTACTACAGTTCCTCTTGCTCGATTCCTAGAGACATCAGCAGGCTCTCCTGGTGTTCAGGCCAGCACGTACATAGCCCTTCGAAGGGCGAACTGACAAATATCTGAGAAATGGCTGCCTTGGCTACGTGCACCTCGTGCTCGCTGTCGAGCCTCTCCGTCGCTGCTGGAACTGCCAGCCTCAGACAACTTCAACAACCAGCAGCCGTTCCTGTGTTGCCAGCTCGGCGATCAGTGACTGTGCGAGCAGCCAAACTTCCTGCTGGGGTATGTGCGCTTTCTTCTGTCAATAATTACCAGTTCCGTCATGTAGACAGAAGGAACGATACAAGTAGGTTTGTTGCGTCTCTCCATTGAAGTGACTCTTGCTGATTCTCAAAATTCTCTCCATCGTAGCCGGGACTTGACGTCACGTGTGCGCTGCCGAATCAACCTGGCAAACGGGTCATCGGCGAAATTTTGCAGTGACTGTCGTCACACGATAGCTCAAGTTCATCGTTGCACAAAAACGTCGAAGGGAATAAATTCATCACATTTCAGTCAGTCCATGGCGTTTCATCCGTCCTGTAGACAATCCTTCATCCATCTCTGTGTCTTCCGTTTGAGGCGCATCAGCTTCTCGAGTCATTTGGCTAAATGCCTTAGCACAAAAGTCTCTACAGAAGGTAGAGAAAGTTAAATTTACCGTTTTTATCATTCCGTGTCATCCCCGTTCTCGCAGATCCCGTCGCCAAAAGTGGAGCCCAACATCCCAAAGCCATTCTGGGGATTCACCGAGAACGCGGAGTCGTGGAACTCGCGAGCCGCTATGATTGGGCTGTTCGGCGTCATCATCTTGGAAGCGGTGAGTTGCAACTTCTAAATTGCCGCATGAACTTGTCCCAACACGTAAGCTTGGCTTCAGGATGTGCTGTTCATTCACTTCTGGAAAGGCGATTTGCA